ACAGTGTGTGTGTGTGTGTGTGTGTGTGTGTGTGTGTGTGTGTATGTGAGAGAGAGAGAGAGAGAGAGAGAGAGAGAGAGAGAGAGAGAGAGAGAGTTGTCCATAGATTAGACTTAGTGTGCAAGAGCCAAGGGCCATCAGAAATGATTTTCTGGAGAAGCTGAAGAACATGACTCGAGGCACGAATGAGGTGTGCTTTTACAGCCCGTGTTCTTTACAGCTCTCAGCTGACCCAGCCGGCAGTCTCTAGAAATGGACTACCAAATACCATTGTCACCTACACACTACTTAGTACTTTTAGTGCCAATCATTTACTGACTTGTGGAGTCACCGGAGAGGCTGAGTGGGGGACAAAGACCAAAAAAGGATCCAGCAGACGGTTACAACCATGGTCCCAGGAAACCGATAAACCCAGTGTTCTTGTCCTGGTACAGCCTCTTCCATGAGGAATCCGGCCTTGGAGATATGCCTTGCTTTGACAAATGAGAGATGAAGTTACTGGGTCTTCTGAAGCAGTTAGGCAACAGACTCCTTCAAAATTCCAAATGCAGAATCATTGTTGCTTAAGGCACACAATAGAGATTTTTGCTGGGCGGTGATGATGCATATCTTTAATCCCAGCATTTCAAGGCAGAGGTAAGAGAATCTCTGTGAGTTCGAGGCCAGCCTGGTCTACAAGAGCTAGTTCCAGGACAGGCACCAAAGCTTCAGAGAAACCTTGCCTCGAAAAACCAAATGTATATATATATCAAGGCCAGACTGGTCTACAGAGTGACCTCCAGGACAGCCATGGCTAAACAAAGAAACTATCTTGAAAGAAAAAAAAAGATTTTTAAAAGCTGCGTTCATAGGTAAATGCAACACAGGGCTAAAGGTAAAAGAGAAGAAAACTTCACTCCCCTGATAGTGAATTTTGTTTCTGTATGTCTGGGGGTACCATGATAGTCTACAGCCAGCAAAGAAGTCAGTTCACAGATTGTGTCCTTGAGTAGCCTCTCCGCAGACATCAGACAAGACAGCTGAGTTACTGTGGAGCCCATGTGAGCAAGCCGGCCATGCTTACCACCTTTCCCTGATAGTCCGGACCTGAGCCATTTCCATTATGATTTTACAGAGGACAACTCTGAGACGTGGGAAGGGCTAAGTTCGCGAATGCCCAGAGGATATGAACCATCTGCCTCCCCATCTCAACAGTCGGAGACGCCTCAACATGGAATCCACTAAGAAGGCACACGAGCATGTAAGGAATTTCCAGATATATCACTATTGAGGATGCAGGGGTGAAAAGGGCTGCTTAGGGGACCTAGTGGTGAATGGAAACCGGGAAGGACGGTGGAGTACAGAGATGTAAGGAGGTTACCATGACAACCCGCCCCGCCTCGCACCCCTGTCCCCCAAAAAGAGGAAAATAATAAAACCAGTTGAAATACCACAGAACAGACAGAAAGTCAAACAAAATTCAATCTTTATTTATCTGGGAAATGGTGAATTCGTCATTGGTGTCTGAAGCCTGAGGCTGCTTGTTCTCCTTAGGGAGGTGGGCTGCGTTTGGCAGGGGCTCTGATGCTCTGAAATCTAGACGATGGAGGGAAATCAGAGACTTAGTTCCCCAAGACTGTGGCGCCCTTACACTGATCAGGCTCACCCACCTTGCTTTTCAACCCTCCACTGTCCTTTCTCGGGACTCCCTCATCTTGCCCTGCCACCGCTCACCTGCCTGATTTTCCAGCTGGGCCTCAGGCCGGTCACCCCAGAGCAGATGCTTGGGGTCATTGAGGAACCGCTGGCTACGCTGGCACGTCAGGCAGGTCTGTACCGTCCAGCGCTGTCCCTTCAGGCCTGGGGTTTAAGTGGGGGGAAATAAGAGAGTGTCCACGCTTCTGAGAAAAAGGTCTTGCTTGCTGTTTTCTTCCACTGCCAATAGGAATTCTATCCCACCTGCATTTGGATTGCAAATTTGATATGTATGGGAGGCCCTGCATGAGCATCAATTCCTTGGAACTCTAAGATGAAGTTCAAACTTTTTTTTTTGAGATAGGGTTTCTCTGTATAGCCTTGGCTGTCTGGGAAGTTGCTCTGTAGACCACACTAACTATCCTCGAACTCAGAGATCCTCCTGCCTCTACCTCCCCGAGTGCTGGGATTAGAGACGTGCGCCAGCACTGCCCTTAACAAGGTCTAGTTTCCCCCTCCAGTCTCACATTTTCTCTACCCTACCCACCTCACATCCCAGCCTTCTGGTCATTCATTTTCTTATATCACAGATTCTCTTTTCAAAATTCCTTATTTATACTTAATATTTATATTCTGTACATGTGTATGTGTGTGACACGCATGTGTGTGGACACAGGTGCACTCGTGTGGGTGTTATGTGTGGAGGACAGAACTCTAGTTTGGGGCGTCTTCCTTTATTACGTTCCACCATATCCTTGAGACAGGGTCTCTCACTGAACCTGGAGTCCGACGTTCTCAGTTAGACTCTGTGTCCTCACCTGGCCCCATGGGTGCTGGGTCCTCATACTTGCATATCAAACACCTTAGCCACTGAACCATCTCCAGAGCCCCTTGACGGCAAGCAAGCTTGTGTGTGTGTGCACGCACGCGCGAATCCTAACCAATGTCTAGAGTTTCTGTCTGACTCTATCATGACATACTTACATCCCTGCCACTGGTAGAAGTAACTTAGCAATCCACTCTCTTCCAATGCAAGCATTTAAAAATACTACTCTAGTAGCTGTGTGTGTGTGTGTGTGTGTGTGTGTGTGTGTTGTCCCACGCTTGTAAGCCCTAACACAAGGGATGCTGAGGCAGGAGACGCCAATTTCGGCTGCAGTGACCCTGTGTCCAAAAACAGCAAAACCAAAACCAAAGAGAGGTTGTGTTTTGTTTGAGACAGGGTCTCACTAAGCAGCCCTGGCTGGTCTGGCTTGTGTAGATCAGGATGGCCTTGAACTCACGGAGACCACCTGCTGCTACCTTCCAAGTGCTGGGATTAAAGGCGTGAACCACCATAACCCACTCAGTCGGTATTACTTAATGAATCTTAGAGATTAAATAATTTAAGTAAGTAGGGTTAATTTTGATTAAACTACAGAGTGTCACGTAGTACAAATCAGCTAGCGAAAGCCTTCCCCTCCAGGGGAAGGGGCTGCTGCCCACCACGGTGCCCTGAGGCAGCACTCACGTCTCTGGCGCTGGGTGCAGGTGAGGCCCGGGATGAGGAGAGAGGAGCAGCCGCGACAGAGCGTCCTCTTCACCGAGGGGTCCCTGGGTGAGGAGGAGAGGCAGTGGGCACCCGCTCGCCCGCGCCCCTGGTTCCTCCCGCCGGCCCGTGCCTTACTGCCGCAGGACCAGCCGCTTCGCGATGGTCTTCTCCGTGTGGCAGTAAAACCTCGCCAGTGCCTGGTTCTCCGGGTTCTGCGAGAGGACGCAGTGTGCAGCCTGGGGACAGAGACGGCCACCCGGGTCACGCTGTGGCCGCAGCACCGGACTGCTGCCCACCGGGACCCCGCCGTCTTACCTGGTACAGAAAGCTGAGTCTCTGGAAGGCCTCCCGGTCCTTCACTGGGCCCGCCATGAGCGTCTGCCCCTCTTCCGGATGTCCCGCCCTGGGCACGTGCAAGGCCTGCTGGGAACTGTAGTTTCGGGCCGCGGCCCCATAGAGGCCCTTGTCCGATACCGGACAACCTCACCCGCCCTGTGCGTTCTTCCCTGGGAGGCGGTCCTAGTTTGGTATTCCTTATCTATTTATTAGGTAGGCCCCAGCGCGGCTAAGGCTCTTAAAATAGCGAAACATTTTCAGGACAAACGTATTCTTTATGTATGAAGAGGATTGTGTGTGCAGTAGTTACCAGGCTAGACTTTCTTACTCTCCTGAAGTCAAACAGACATCTGGAACAACAAAACAGGCAATGTCTAGCTTCGCGTTATATTTTTGTTATACCAGCACTTGGGAGGTTGAGGTAGGATTGCCATAAATTACATATGAGTCTGAACTGGCCACATGGCCAGACCCTGACTCAAAACCAAAAGTAGGGGCCGGAGAGATGGCTCAGCAATTAAGAGCACTGGCTGCTCTTCCAGAGGTCCTGAGTTCAATTACCAGCAACTACATGGTGGCTCAAGACCATCTGTAATGAGATCTGGTGTCCTTTTACCATCGTGCTGAGATTAAAGTTTAATCCCAGCACTTGGGAGGCAGAGGCAGGTAGATCTCTGTGAGTTTAAGGACAGCCTGGTCTACAGAGTGAGTTCTAGGATGGCCAGAGATACACAGAGAAACCCTGTCTCGAAAAATCAAAAATAAAATAAAATATGGTTGGAGAGATGACTCAGGGGTTAAGAGCACTGCCTGCTCTTCCAGAGGTCCTGAGTTCAATTCCCGGCAACCACACGGTGGCTCACAAACATCTGTAATGAGATCTGGTGCCCTCTTCTGGCCTGCAGGCAACCCACTGCATACATAATAAATCTTAAAAAAATGGAACAAAAAGCATTGATGCCTGTGGGGCTTAAGGTGGAAAAGATTATATCGTATTATGAGGGAGGACATAGCTCCTAGCTTAAGGTGGAAAAGATTATATCATATTACGAGGGAGGACATAGCTCCTAGCCCTCAGGAGGCACGGCTCTCTCCCACTTTTTTACTTAGTAAAGAAGACGCCCGCTGTTACAGAACAGGCCATGTAGACAGTTTCTATGGCCTGTCTCCTCAGGACAAGTCCAGGGAGTCACAGATGTCTTCCTGTCTCAAGACTCCTGCCAAGATGGGCGGAGAGCCAGGCTTCCAGCTCAGAATAAGGCCATCAGCTGAAACGTGCCCTTGGCGGTGGTTTCCAAGGACCTTCAGAGTCAAATGAGAGGAGTGTGTTAAAATGTAGACTCCTAGGCCCACCCAAAACTCCATTAAGGACGGAGGGTGAGACCCAAGAACATGTATTTTTCATACCCAGTGATTTTTCACATAAGACCACTGCCAAATTACCACACAAACTCAGAGGTCACGTCAGTGGATCCTTTGTTCCATATTTTGACCAACCAAATTATCTTGCCACAAAGAACCACAGTCAAGGCACAAAGGTAAGAAGAGAGTGGACAAAGGCCTGTTGAGGTGGGAGGAGAACCGAAGGCCCCCAATGCAGCTTCTCGTCTGTCTTCTACAAAGATACCCAAGCAGCAGAAAACCCAGGTTGTTTGGTTTGGCATGCATCACATTACCTTTTGTGACAACATATGTACCCTATTGGCTTTTATTTTGGCCTAACTTAAAATGGTTTCCATTCTCTGAACGAGGGAACGTCAAAGGGTGAAGGACAGCAACAGAAGCGAAGCTGTCTATCTGACCCTTTGCTACACAAACCACCCTCTTCTACCCTGTTCTCGCGGGGTGAGAAAGACTCCATGACTGTTCTTCCTTCTGGCTCGGACACCTGAGCCAGTGGACAAGGCAAACAACTTGGGAATAACTACTTTTAACATTCTTTAAGGCCAGGGCTTTGGATAGACCGTTCTCTTTCCTCTAATATCTGACTCCTCTCCACGTTCCCTTGGGAAAACAGTGCAAGGGTAAGCGTGTGTCCCGCAGGGCCGTTTCCATCTCACCTCCAGAAGGGAGAAAGGTGAGCCTACTTCTTGGAGACAACCAACTGCGGGAACAGGAATAACCAGGGTTGAGACCTGGTTCTCCTTTCTGCCCACCTTATCTTTCTCCCCAAATTCCAACCTCTGGCTAAACCTATGGGTAATGGTAACATTAACCTAAGAAGAGAAAACAAAAGAAATCCCAATCTCCTTCAATCATTTCTAGAAATATCCCTTTAGCCTCTTTCCTGATCCTCCTCCTAACTTTAATGTCCAATCTCTGCCCTCAAAAGTCACTCATCTTCTAGACTGATGACAGCAATTGTCAGTCATCTTTCCGACACAGAGGTATACAGATCCCTATGCGCTCCCACAAGGAACAAGGCTACTCTGAATCACAGAAGCCTTTTAAAGGTTTCTGTTTCCTGCATTCTAAGCAAGTTAAGACCCTTTCATATAGACTTTCTGTTTCTAGAAAGCCTTTTCTTTCCCACCCTGTCCTTGTGCAACAAGAAACCCGCTGGACACGGATTACGATCCCCTGGGAGCCTGTTCTCCCGCTACAGTAAGTAGGGACACTCCTCTGTGCTCTGCCACGCAGCCCAGTCCTGTCTTCACACAAACCATCCCAGAGACCAGGTGGTTTCTCAAGATGGCTCAGGACTGGAACCACGTACACGTCAAGACATTCCAGCAGGTCACAGTAAGGAAGACCATCACTCTTGACCCTGCCTCACCCCAACTACGCTCCGTCTCCTGTCACTCCCAGTCTGTCGGGGGCCTGATGGTAAGAGGTGCAGCATTCTTCCGACCAGCCCGGATCCCTGGGTAGAAGAGGGGCCAGAGTTTTTCAGTAAAAGTATCAGTGAAGGTGAAGATGTGCGAGCGGTCTGTCACGTTGTAGAAAGACAGTGTGCCAGCCTCATAGTCTAGGAAGATGCCCACCCGCTTAGGTTTCACCTTGATGTGCAAAGGGGTGAAAGGTGTGGTGGTGGCTGCGTACTTGTCCCCGTTCCACAGCCGGATGCGCCAGTAGCCGGTCTCGGGGAGTGGAGTCAGTTCGCCCTTTCTGCTCACAGAGTCCCGGCACACTCCCACTGCCCAGTGGGTCTTGTCGCCCACCTCCACCTCCCAGTAGTGTCGACCAGAGGTGAAGCCTTCAGTAGCCAAGACACAAGGGTAGAAAGTGAAACGCTGGGGCGTGTCAGGGAGGTCTCGGAGTCTTGTCTCCACAAACTTGACACTCTTCCGATCCTCTGACAGGACGAGGTTAGGATGCGCTGTCTCAGGGTCCAGGGTCACATCCGCTGGCGGGAGAAGCCAGAGTGGGGAGCTAGATGAGGATGGGAACAGCTAAACGTCCCTGCCTCGCTCTCCTCGCCTACCTACGCAAGGTTCCCAGAACACCGTGGGCGAGTTAACTAAACATCCCTGCCTTGCTCTCCTAGCCTACCTAGGCAAAGACCCCCAGAACATGGCGGGTGAGTCAACTAAACGCCCCTGCCTCGCTCTCCTAGCCTATCTATACAAAGGCCCCCAGAACACGGTGGGCGAGTTACCTAAACATCCCTGCCTTGCTCTCCTAGCCTACCTACGCAAAGGCAACCAGAACACGGTGGGCGAGTCAACTAAACATCCCTGCCTTGCTCTCCTAGCCTACCTACGCAAAGGCCCCCAGAACACGGTGGGCGAGTCAACTAAACATCCCTGCCTCGCTCTCCTAGCCTACCTACGCAAAGGCAACCAGAACACGGTGGGCGAGTCAACTAAACATCCCTGCCTCGCTCTCCTAGCCTACCTACGCAAAGGCAACCAGAACACGGCGGGCGAGTCAACTAAACGTCCCTGCCTCGCTCTCCTAGCCTACCTAGGCAAAGGCCCCCAGAACACGGCGGTGAGTCTGGAAGAAATGAAAGGCACTGTCTGAGGGAGTGAGCTGTGGTAGCTGGGGACAGGGTGAGCATGAACTTGAATCCTGTGAAGTCTGGCTTTGCGACTGCTTTTCACTACACGAATATTAATGATATCCCCCTTTGCTTTCCTGGCTCACTCCACCTGAGTTAGGAATCCTTTAACATCTCTAGGTCCTATACAGAGCAGAACCTTAGGTTTTTTTTCTCTGAACTCTATGGTTTAAGGTGAGATGGACAGGTGGGATGGGCATGAGAAAAATGCAGCCCACTGGAAGGATCTTAACCTTCCACTCCTTTGCATGCTCTATACCAGTTTCCTCCTGGGAACAACTCACCAATTAGCTGCTTAAGGATTTTCCTTAGGGCAAAGTACTGCCGGGGGAAACTGCTGAAGTTCTTTTCCAGCTCTATAGATACTGAAGTCACCTCCATGGTCTTCACCTTCTCACATCTAGGAGGGATGGGTGATAAAGAAAGCCAGAATACCATCAGGGGGAGCTCCAGCCAACTGAGTATGTGAGTGGTGTCATCGTAGAGAAAGGTAAAAAAGACCAGACCCCTCTCACTTTCCTTCCTCCCTAAGAGTAGGTGGCTCCCTTGGCAGGTCTGTATCTTGAGTATGGACCTGAAGACTTCCTGGAATATTCTTACATTCCATGCAAATGGATAGTCACCCCCGCCACTGGTACTCCTGTGCTTCCAGCCCCTTCCGCCGTCTTGTTTGAACACAGCTCGGCTCCCCACCGTCACTGTCCGACCAAATATGACCTGATATCACGAGGGAGGTGAAGCGTTATCACCCTCCACGGTTCATCCTGCTCCTCTCTCACTCAGACACTACTTCCCTTTCCTACTTCCGACAAGGCATTACTAAACCCGTAGCCTCCTCTAAGTCAAGACCTAACTCAGAGAGACAGAATCACTTACTTTTCCAGGGTACTTTTCACATCCTAGAAGAAAAGAGAAAAGAAAGTAAGATTGGTCCTAGAATTCATGGGTCACAAAGGCAAAAAGGTTCTCCCTCCTCTCTTCCAACCAGGCGCTAGGCAAACTGAGGGCCCAATGGACAAGCTTCAGATGGGCTGAAGTGTGTGTTTCTCATGAAATGCCCAGTTTCAACCGCTGGTCATAACAAAGCTTGATAATTAACACCACTTCCTAATGGTCCCTGCACACGTGTCTTCCTCGTCACAGACACTGGAGGCTCTCTGTAAGAACAGACCTCAGCATCACTGAGAATCAGTACAGACAGTTCCAGACTGGTGGCACAGGATGCTTCCCACTGTGGTCTGGACATCCCTGTTTAGCACTGGATAAGCTCTAATTCATATCAACCCATTCTGAGCACCCTTTAAATTAGGCTCCTACACCCTGCTTTAGCACTAGGTAAATTAAGTTATAGGACTGGAAAGTAAGGGCAACGGTATTCACAAAAACTCGAATGCACAGTTCATCACTAAGTAGGATGGACTTCTGTCTTCTGAAAAGGATTCTGTTTTAGGGGGCACAAATTATATACATTTTAAAAAAAGATTTATTTTGGTCAGGAGGGATGGCTCAGCCATTAAAGGCTAGGCTCACAACCTAAAATATAAGAGTTTGGTTCTCAGCACCCATGGCTGTCCCTCCAGGTACTTAAAAAGAAAAAAAGATTTATTTTATATGTATGAGTGTCTTGCTTGTGTATACGTATGTGCACCATGTGTAAGCAATGCCTTGGAGCCCCCAGAGCTCCAGTTACAGGCTGTTATAAGCTTCCACGTGGGTGCTGAGAACTAAACCTGGCTCCCGTCCAAGAGAAGCAAGTGCTCTTAACCACTGAGCCAACTCACTAGCTCCAGGCATGTAAGTTCTAAAAGGACATATCTGGAAGAGCAGTCTAGGCTTTGGGAAGTAGAGTAAGAAAGGATGCACCCAGGCTGACTGCAGGGCCCTTACAAAGCTAGTCTGCATTTGACCAAGAACTACATTGGAGCAAAGGTCGAACCTTAAGCATCTCGAAGCCCGACTGTAAGCACTTGCCCTCCACCTCAGCAGCTAAGTGGGCCACGTCCCGACGCTTGCCCCCAAGGTGAGCAGCATTTTCTCGAAGTCTCTGTAGAATGTCCTGCTCTTCTTCTTCCAGTTGGGAAAAGAGTGCCTGCTGTTCTTCATCCAGCCTCCTGTGGAGTTCTTCAAATTCCTTTAGGATTTGCTGTCTGCGGCTCTCCACTAGTCTCTGAGAACAAGGGAGGATGCAGTCAGGACCAGGGGGCAAGAGGGAGTCTCTCCCAGACCCACCAGGCTCAGTACAGACTTCCTTGTCACTGGGAAGGCTCTAGCAGTAGTCTTGATTTTCTTCCTGTAAGGAAACTGTACTGAAACCTGCACACTCCTGACAGAGGACTTGTTAGTCCCAGTCAGTGGGAAGATTTAAAACAATCAACACCTGACTTTTTAAGACCTAAATTAACCTTTTCTATGTTAATAAAATACATTCAAGGTTCAAGAACTCAATGATGTGATGATATGTACTGTTACGGATATCAGGGATACTTTTGCTATTTTCTTCTCTGATGTTTCTCTTACAAAACAAATAAAGTACAAATATTAGAAAGCCAAAGATTTCATTATTAATAATTGTGGCACATTAACTGATAAAGCAGACAGAGGAAACTATCAGAATCAGTAACAGTTTAATGAACTGATGCAAAGTTTATATTTAAATTTCAGGGCTGAACTTATTTTGGTTGCCATTTCTATTTTGTCCCCCCAAATAGGGTCTTGTAATATAGCACAAGCTGGCCTTGAACTTGGGATCCTCCTGCCTAACAGCTGAAGTCACTTCTGATGGGCTGAGAATTCCTGGGAGGGAGCTGGACTGCTGCAGGCCCGGAGCTGACTTACATTTTATCTCGGACTACCTTTAGCCTCCTACATAGCCTTTTCCGTGCCCACCTCTGTGCTGGACCTAATAGCCTGTGATTAATTTAATGTCAGACGGCATCCAGGGCTACAGCTGAGACTGCTCTCCTTGGCTGTGACTACCTATTTCATGTTTCTACCACAGTCTTGAAAACTGCCCTGCTCTAAGGCCTTCTTCTTCTAGTCTATAAAAGCTTCATGAAACTGATTCTAAGTTGAAACATAAAATTTGGGGTACCTAAATCTGTGTTTCAATGCAAGATCGCTCATATTTGGCTCCAGAATAAATTCTTCTTCCCTTTGAGAGAGATGGGAATTGTTCTTTGTGTTGATAGAAAATAGGTTTTTTTTCTGCCCCAGGATCACGTTCCAGATACTTTCTAGTAAATCAGTTGCTTAAGATTTGAAACATGCTCTTGATAGCAGCACATCCTTTTTTGAGAGGGTAGGACTCAAACAGCAACCACACCACCTTCTGAGGGTTATCAGCACATCCCCCTCTATGCCGTCCTAGAAGTGGCCTCCCCAGCCAAGGAGTCCCAAGTCCTTGTGACTGACAGGGAGGCATCAACTCAGAAGAGAAGAAGAGATGGACAGAGACCGAGAAGCACTGCTCAGGCTGAAGAACGGCTGGGATATAGGTAAAAGCCGTGGGCCTCACAAGCTTGGCAGTCCTCATCTGCAGCTACTCTGGCAGACAACAGCCTAGCTTTCATTACAGGGAGGCAACAGAACAGGATGTGTGCTCACTTTGTCCTGAATACAGATTCTCAATGTGTGTGTGTTAGAAGCAGGCGTGCTGAATTAATGAATTAGGCTCATGAGGACTATTTTCTAGGGGCCAGAGAGATGACTCAGTGGTTAAGAATGCTTGCTTCTCTTCAGAGGACCTGAGCTTGGTTCCCAGCACTCACACTGGGTAGCTTGAAACCGCCTGTAACTCTAGGGGATCTCGTTTGTACTCTCCTAGTCTCTGACATTTGTGTACATGGGTGTGCATGCACATACACATAACACACACACTTACATGGACAAATAAATCTTAGACTTTACCACATATGCCACCAAGCTGCTTTGTGGGGTTTAACTCACATCCGCCTCAGAATGAACCCACATTTATTTCACTTGATAACGTCACATACAGTAGCAAGCACATAACCACGCTATCGTGTCTTTTCACCTATCAGATTTTATTAGAAATTACTTCCAGTTAGGAGCAATGTGCATAGCTTTAGTTTCAGTATTCAGAAGGCAGAGGTAGACAGAGCCAGCCACAACTACTCAGTGAAGCTCTGCTCCATCACTAACTAACTAACCAACTAACTAACTAACTAACTAACCAACTAACTATCACTCTATAATGCTACTGGATACGACAGTCTCTTTAAATTATATAGGTAGGTTGTCTTATCTGAACTTTTTTGCTAAAATTTTTGATTTCAGTATAGCTAATTATAAACTCCATCCGAACCCAGGAGATAACATCTTACTACACAGCCCAGGCTGGCCTGTGCTGGTTATAAACTTGTGATAGGAGCTTGAAATATTACAGCTCCAGCCTCCTCTGTGATTGCAGGTGTGCACCATCCATGGCCAGTTCATAAGCTTAATATTTTTTTGTCTGCAGTGTTGGTGAACTGATGCCATACCCTCAGTTCTTACGCACTTTTTAAATTTTTAATTTTTTTTTTTTAAACCAGGGTCTTAACTGCAGTCTTGGCTTCCTGAGTATTGGGATTATATGTATGTGCTGCTTTTATAAATTGTTTTTATAATTTGAAAATTTTTAATTTACTTTTGTTTTATGGGCATTGGTGTTTTGTCTTCATGTATGTCTATGTGAGGATGTAGGATCCTCTGAACTGGATTTACAGATAGTTGTGATCTGCCATATGGGTGTTGGGAATTGAACCTGGGTCCTCTGGAAGGGCAGTCAGTGCTCCTAACTGATGAGCCATCTCTCTGGGCCCCTACAAACTGTTTTAACGGGGGTTACTGAGTCTAATTCTGGAGGCTGAGGAAAGAGGGAAGCAAAGTGGGAAATGGGCGGGGGACAAATTCAAACAGTCATAAAAGGAATGCTTTGAATTGCAGTTTTAAAGACCACTAAACTGAAAAATTATAATTAAAGACAACAGCCATACTTTGGTTCAAATATTACCATAGTTTAAAGGAGAAATACCCTCCATAGGTCATGTATCTGAACACTGGGCCCCAGGTCATGGGACCTTTAGGAGGTGGAGCTTTGCTAGAGGAAGTATGTCACTGGGGCAGGCTACCCTACTTCCTGTTCTTGCTGCTACACTGCCTTCCCTGCAATTATAGACTTCTTCCCTCTGGAACTGCAAGCTAAAATAAAACTTCATCCTTTAGTTACTTTTGGTCAAGGTATTTTACCAAGAACTCCAAAGCTGAAGGCTGAGGAAGGGAAAGGCATTCTGGGAATGAATCAGCATTACCTTAGATTACTTAATTACAAGAATGTAGTTCTAAGCCAAATGTTATGGTGCACGCTTTTATTCCAAGCACCTGGGAGGCAGAAGCAGGTGGACCTTTGTGAATTCGAAGCCACCTTGGTATATATAGTGAGTTCCAGGTCAGCCACGGCTATATAGTAAGAGTCTCTCAAACAAACAAAACAGAATGTGGTTCTGTGAGGCTGCAGAGTTTAAGAATATTGGCTGTTTGTTCTTCCAGAGGACCTGAGCTCAATTCCCAGCACCCACATGGCACTTGGAACCATTGGTAACTCCAGTTCTGGGGGATCTGAGGCCCTCTTCTGCTCTCTTTGGGCAACAGGCAGGGATTTGGTCCACAGACATACACATAGGCAAAATACCCATACACATAAAATTAAAAAAAAAGAGTAACTAAAAGTAATTAAAAACAAACAAAAGAGCAGTTCTGGGAGCTCTTGCTCAGCTCATCCCTCTCTCCTGGTGAACTTCCCAAATTCTCTGTCCTCCAACCTCTCTAAGAAGCTCCCATCCCTGTAGTCTTAGGAGACCCTCTTTCCTTGCTTGTGGGTGGGAGGAGAATACTGGGCGAGGACTCCCTGGACTTAGCAGTATTTATTATTGTATACACAGAGTGTGTACACACAATGAGTATGTAAACTCAGATGTCATCTCTGTGAGTTCATTTTTATCTTTCTACCTTCACGTGGGCTTCAAGTGTCGATGCTTGCACAGCAAGCACCTTTATCCAGAGTCATCTCAACAGCTCATTCATTTCTTATATCCTTCTCAGTACTTAACTCGTGACAAGTAATTTAAGTATAGGGTTTAACGACAAATACCTAATGAAATATTCTGAGAGAATAGCAGTTTTCCAATTAACTGATAGATTAAGTCAAGTGTTGTTGACTTGCTCACAGGCAAACACCCAGTCAACCAGTGAAGGCAGCAGTTGCCTGCTCTACCTTGAGCTCCCCCGGTTTCTTTTCTTCGGAGGTTTTGCAGGAAGTGATCTCCTGCAGCTTCTGTTCCAGGGGCTCCAGGCACTTCTGCAGTTTCTCCTGAAGGTTGGGAGAGAGCAGGAGAGGAGACATTTGGAGTTAGTCGATACATCCATTCCTTAAGAGCTTAACCCATTTATAAGCAACAGTGAATGGCCATCTGGGAACCAAATTCAGGTGATCTGCCAGACTGGTAAATGTTTTTAACTGCTAAATCATCTGTACAGTCCTGATTATTCTTCCCTTGAAGTACTTAGGGTCAGACCGACCCAGGGCCTCGGGCATGCAGGACAAATGTTCTAGGACCAAGACATCTTCCCCACCCTAAATCATCTGATTTCTGCTCTCATCACTTCTTGACCACACCCCCTCCCCTGCCTAGAACTGGGTCTTTTATAGACCCCCTTCCCTGCCATTGGCTCGTCCCCCTCAGGTCTGAGGCACACCTGACTGTCCTCCCCTGAATCTAGTAGTCTGTTATCACCTGCTTCCTTTCCCACTCTTTCTTACAGACAACTGCCTACTACACTCAAAGCTACTTGATTTATTCTTTTCTTTTTGGTTTGTTTTGGTGGTGCTGAGAATTCATGCAGGGTATGTACATCAAGAACAGTCCCGGGGCTGGAGAGATGGCTCAGTGGTTAAGAGCACTGGCTGCTCTTTCAGAGGTCCTGAGTTCGATTCCCAGCAACCTCATGGTGGCTCACAACCATCTGTAATAAGATCTGGCACCCTCCTCTGGCATGTGGGCATACATGGAGGCAGAATGTTGTATACATAATAAACAAATAAATCTTAAAAAAAAAAAACAGTCCCGTCCTCCAGCCAGGAGACAACCTTTACTTATTTGTGTATAGTTGTTTCATGGTAAGGTCTCCAGCAGCCTGGCCTGGCTACAAACCACGGATGACCTCACCTCCCAGGCGCCTGCTGCCTCTACCTTTGGAGTCTTGGGATTATAAGTGTGTACCACCCCCAGCCTGTCTTTTTTTTTAAATTTATTTATTTATTATGTTTACAATATTCTGTCTGTGTGTATGCCTGAAGGCCAGAAGAGGGCACCAGACATCATTACAAATGGTTGTGAGCCACCATATGGTTGCCGGGAATTGAACTCAGGATCTTGGGAAGAGCAGGCAATGCTCATAACCGCTGAGCCATCTCTCCAGCCCACCCCCACCCCCCCGCCTGTCTTGATATCCTTTTGTCACCTGGGCTTCCATTCAGATCTAACCACTTATAGACAAAATAAAACCTGGCTGTAAATTACCTTAAATATTTTTTTCAAGATTTTGTTAACTAAGCAGAATAAATGAAAATTCTAGACAGTGCCATCTTTGATTTTTATGACTGAAACAGCTACCCTGTGCCATCGCTAGCGATTTAAATGTTAAATGTCACGATACTTGCTACATGGACAAGACGCAGGCTGGTTCAGCTTAGTCTGCTGGATTTAGCACTTTAACGTAATGTTAGCTATTTCCAACAAATGGGGAAAATCATCCTGAGCGAACAGGCAGAAATGAAGAAACCAAAATACTTTTCAGTTCTTCCAAACTATTTTTCAGAATCTTATGTGGCTTCACTCATTTATTTAAAATCTGATATATGGCTTGACTGTGGTGGTGCCGCCTTTAATCCCAGCACTTGGGAGGCAGAGGCAGGTGGATCTCTGTGAGTTTGGGGACAGCCTGGTTTACAGACTGAGTTCCAGGACAGGCTCCAAAAGTTACAGAGAGAAACCTTGTCTTGAAAAAAACCAAAAACCAAGAACTAAAGAAAACAAAAAAAACCCCAAAAATTCTGATATATTCCAAAACCATACATACCAATACTCTGAAGACTCAATTGTTTTGCAATAAGTCACAGAAATTTTTGGGTACTCCTCACTGTTCTTGTGGAGGACAGTTGTATATAGTTCTGAGGAGAACATAGAGGAACAGATAGCCTTGCCTCAGGAGCTTAAACCCCTCTACTCGAAGTGTGTACTCTCTCCCCACACTGGCGTCATGTGTCTGGATGCCCACCTTATACTCCTGTGTAGCGTCATCCAATGGCACCACGGTATGGGCCCGGTGGGTATGGGAAATGGCACATATCAAACAGACAGCCTCCTGGTCTTCATTGCAGAAGAGGCTCAGGGCCTCATGGTGCTGGGAGCAGAGGCTCTCATCCCTGATCTTCCGCTTGACGGCCTGGAGCTGCTTGGCGATTTCCACCATGCTGCCCAGTTGTCGATTGGGCCGGAGGCTTCGGTATCGTGATGTCTTCCGACAGACCGGGCAAGGAAAGTCCCGCTCTAGGTCCTCCCACCAGCGGGTAATGCAGGCTTTGCAGAAGTTGTGCCCACATTCGATGATAACTGGCTCCTTCAGATACTCCAGGCACACAGAACAACTTGCCTCCACTTGCAGGTTCTCCAGGGCGGCAGCCGTGGAGGCTGCAGAGGCTCCAGCCTCTATCAGACTTGTCTCGGCCATTATTTGACTTAGAGATGGGGAGAGAGAAAAGAAAGGTATTTGTTAAAAGGTTACCTTTTTTTTTTTGCACTCCTATCCTGACATCAGCTCCCAGTGAGCCATAACTCTAGGCTGAGCCCCATCTTGGTATTTTCCCTTCTCTTCCCGTAGACCTGTTGCTCTGTTTACGGTATTTGTGACTTCTAATCAATTCACTTGCTTTTTCTGGTTTAGCAAACAAAAGCAGTCCTTAGATCTCCCTCACCTCTATTTTCTCACTACAATCAGAAGCTTCCTTTAAGTTGACAGATTTTTTTCTAAAGATGAAAACGAGCCTGATGTGGCGGCTCAAACCCAGAACCCCAGCATTTCTGAAGTCAAGGTGGGGAGCCTGACGACACTAAAGGGAGGGAGGGAAGGCTGGGAAGTGAGATTGGTAGCTCACTGTGAGGCAGGAGGATCAATGTAAGGATGAGGCTAGCCTGGGCTACTGTAGAGTAAGAGTTTTTTTTTTTTTTTAATGGAGCTTTGGCCAGCAGTCCTGGGACTCGTTATTACTATTACGTTTTTAAAGAACTTCATATATAAGCATTGCACCTAGATTAAAAAAAAAAACAAAACTACTTTTTTTTGGTTTTTCGAGACAGGGTTTCTATGTAGCTTTGGAGCCTGTCCTGAAACTAGCTCTTGTAGACCAGGCTGGTCTCAAACTCACAGAGATCCGCCTGGCTCTGTCTCCCGAGTGCTGGGATTAAAGGTGTGCACCACCACCGCCCGGCTTAAAAAAACAAAAACAAAAAACTACTTCTTAAAATACATTTCAACCCTCAGAGAATACTACTGAGCAGAGGGCAGTAACTTTTCTGAAGAGACTTGGTAAGTCCATTCTAAACATTCAGCGGCGAGTTTAGTCTTTCAAAGTCTCTACTGAAAATTAATTCCATGGATATTCAGTGTATCGGCTAGGAATTAAAAAGAAATTTGCCAGGTGTGGTGGTGGCACACACTTATAATCCCAGCCCTGGGGAAGTGAGGGCAGGGAGTATCAGGAACTCAAGGCCTGCCCTTAGTTATACAGAAAGCTTTCTGAGGAAAGAAATTCAGATGCAGATTAAGATCAGTAGGATTTCTTCTCTACCCATTAGAATGCGATTTTGACTAAGTGCTGCTCCCCAATCTTTTTTTTAAAATTATTATTTTGGTTTTTCGAGACAGGGTTTCTCTGTAGCTTTGGTTCCTGTCCCAAAACTAGCTGGCCTTGAACCCACAAACTCACAGAGGGCCGCCTGCCCCTGCCTCTCGAGTTCTGGGATTAAAGGTGTGCACCACCACCACCGTCCGGCTCCCCTCCCCAACCTTACAGACATTAGATAGCATCCTCACCTAAGGGAATTGAATTATATGCACACTTACACGGGGCCAGGACGTATCTAAGTGGCAAATAAGCGGTATGAAAGAGAAATGGGCTCTGGGTTAGTGAAGAACGGAGAGGATTTGATTTGGAGCTGTGGGTGGTGGTGATGATGGAGAGGGCAGGCAGACATGGCCTTGTGCTCCTCTGGTTTGGTCCTTCCTCTCCCTCCATTACTCTGTCTCAGTAGTAGTGCTAACTTCAGAGACGTCCTCCTTCTGTCTTTTTAATCACCGCCTTAGGAGCCCCTCTCGAGCACCGGCCACAACTCTGTCCCACCCGGTCTCCATCTTCTCCTGCCCTATCCGGAGCATGAGGACCAGAGCGAGGGGGCGCGCGTCGTGGTTGGCAGGGAGGAAGGATGCGTGTCTCAGTGAGGGAGAGGTGTGAAGTGAAGGTGGGATGCTCGCTGCCATGTCGCAGTCCAGACCCCGCGGTGACTGCGTCAGTTTCACCCGGGGAGACCAGAGGCAGCAGGACAGGGGGAACGGGGTAGCCAAGCAACGCCGGACGCGCTGACGTCGCCGGGGCGGCAAACGTCCTCCGGGCCCGAGGCGGGCGGAGGCAGCTGTGGTTGCACGCCGGGCAGCTGACGCGCTCGTCGGGGCGGAGGGCCGCGGCGTGAGGAGCCGGCTGGGCAAGGGGCGGGTCCCAGGCCCCGCACGGTGGCGGCGGCGCAGCACCTACCTACCTTCCCGGCTCCGGATCCCGGAGTGCCGGGCGCGGAGACGCCGGAGCACTGCCTCCCTCCTTCCTCCTCCCCTCACCCCCGCCCCGCGGCGCGACTCACAATACTCGCCGGAAGCGGAAGCGGGGCGCCGCGGCTGGTGGAAGGCTGCGAGCGCGGCGCTGAGCCGGCTCGCGGCGCCGGGGCCTAGACGGGGTCGCCGCGGGTGGCGGCAGAGGGCCGGAGGTGAGGGCCCGCGCGGCTACGGAAGGACGGGAGGGCACCCGTCGCGTCAGGTGGCTGCGGTGCTGGCGCCCAGGTGACCCGAGCCGTCCCCGGGAGACCCAAGGCCGCGCATGCGCGTAGCGGAACGCCGAAGCCCATGGCCGGCGGCTCGTCTCCGCGGGCGAAGCTTCGGTGTCACCTCGCCGGCGCCGGGGTCTGAGGCTGCTCCCCGGTGGGGCTGGGCGCCGCAGAGCCTAGGTGACTACGGATTATGGGCTTGGGGGTTTCACTTTCTCGGTCTCTGGGTCAGTTTGGGGAGAGGGTGGCTGCTGCAGGCGGCGGCGGCGGATTACGTGGCTGACCCGAGAGGCTGCGCCGGCACGTCACTTCCGACTGGCTGAGGGTTTTAGCATTTTAATGGTCACGAAGTAGGTGAGTTGCTTAGGCTGCAGACCCCTGTGCGCCTGATGCTCCCTTGGTTGGCTAACGTTCGCGAATTGCTTTTCCCTTGGTGGAGCAGAACTGGGCTGGTCCGGTGGCTTGCTGCTTCTCGGGTGCTGGGCGGACCAGATCCAAGTAAACACTGGGTGAGAACCAAAGCCGGTTTCTTTGGCTTAAGTTTCCACGGGAGAGCAGATAGAGCTTGGGGATAATCTCCCTGTTTTTGGAAGTGTCACAAATCTAGCGGTGGTGAAAATTTTTTTGGAAGGGAGTGAATTAATGGGGAGGGGAAGTCTGATGGTACAGATGTCATGGACTCAGGAGGAGTTAGTGCTAGGATAGTGCTAGGATGCATATTTACACCACCGGTTGCACAGGTTGTGTTTGTCCCTCTGTCGTGAGACAGACCTTTTCTGGGGAGATAAACACACACCTGCTCAGCTCAGGTAGGGCACCTGTATATACCGAATTTGTGTATTGCTGGTCTGATTTGGTGAAGCGTGAGTTTTACTGGGGTTATTTGTGAGGGGTCACTCACATGAGCAGAAATCACTCAAAGAGACACAACACAGTGTTGCCAAAAACCACCCCAGCATGGCTCCCAAAGCTAGAAACCTGGAGTACACCCCCACAGCTCAAAAGATTGGACTGTCCTTTCCTGGTGGCTCAGTGGGTCTGAGCATCTTCCAGGCTGTTCAGCTTGTCCTTATGCTAGGTATTATTTGCTTCTGCTGGGCTTGTCTGAGAGAGGCCTTCAATACTCTCTACTGTTTAATAGACTCACGGGAAGGGGTTTGGGGAATCTAGTCAGTTTCAGGGACGTTTTCTTTGTGTCTACTTCATGTCTCTTTAGAACAGCCTATTTTGCCTCTGTAAGCCTCCGTTTTAGGAAGTTTCCCTCTTGGATGCAAGGTTTTAATCTCAGAAACTGCTACATAGCACCCTCCTCCCTGCTTCCTGAAACAGCTGGCATGCATCACATTTGAGCGGATTTTAATGGTGCCCTCCTTTCAGAGGAAGCGGTTTGTGGTTCCTGTACATTTTGAAGTGGTTTACAAACAGCATGCTGGTGTTTTTGTTTTGTTTCATTTGAGATAACATTTTGTGTGGTCCAGGCTACACTTGAGCTCACTAAGTAGCTGAGGACTGCTTTCAACTCGATCCTCCTGCTTCACCTAGAGTGCTAGAGTCTGCCACAGCTAGCAAGCCTATTTAACACTCATACTTAAGAGGTTAAAGGTTTAGAACCACAAGCCGTGGGGTGGTGGCACTCGGGAGGCAGAGGCAGGCGGATCTTAGTCTACTAGATCCTGGTCTACAAGAGCTAGTTCCAGGACAGGCTCCAAAGCTACAGAGGACCCCCCCCCCCCCTCTTGAAAAGCAAACAAACAAAAATTAAGACCACGAATAGCAAATAAAAGTCTACTTTAAAAAAACTATCTTATTCTTTTTGTTGGGTTTTTGTTTTGCTTTTTGCTCCCCTTTTATGATAGTCCGTGACTTTAAGCGTAAATTTGATAATTATTAAGTTCCCTTCACTTAATTGCTGTCACGTTTGGCCATTAGGGGTTATAAACTGCAGCAGTTGTTACAGTTCACAAACACCTTGTTTCTAACTTAAGGTAGTTTGAAGGCCATTAACTTGCCTTCTGAATTGCCCCTTAAACATGTCCCAGTGTGGCCTCTCCCCACTGCGGTACCTTCTGCCACCAGGACTTGTTTCCCTCCTCCCCCTTTAGTCTTGTGTCTTGGAAATTTTCTCTGGCCACCCGCCCTGCCCCTTTGAGGTATGAAGAAAAGGGAGATAGGTTTGAATTACCATGAATGAGTGACTCCCAGGAGTTCTGTACTTAATACAACAACAGTCCATAAGGGATACACGATTAATAGAAGCTCAGGGTCAGAAACTGGGGTTAGCCTGAAGACCGAAAAGCAAAACAGCCAGCCACTCTCTCTTTGACCTCAGTCTGAAATGGCGATCTTGCCTTCAGGAATCTCTCAGAATGAGACTGTTAAGAGCTGTTTCTTCCCGTTTTATAGTCCTCTCTAGGGCTGGAATTAAAGGTGTGTACCACTGTGATTAAAGGCATGCACCACCTGATTTCTATGGCAGCTTGCTGCAGGATAGCGGTTTTACCCTGTAAAGATTTATTTCTAATACTTGTTTAATAGAATGCTGATTGGCCAGTGCCAGGCAGGAAATAAGGCAGGGCAATGAGAACAGAATTCTGGGAATTCTGCAGATGCAGGACACAAGATGTGACTGCCATGCCGGACCAAGCCATGTGGCTAACACAGACAAGATTAATGGGTTGGGGCTGGAGAGATGGCTCAGAGGTTAAGAGCATTGCCTGCTCTTCCAAAGGTCCTGAGTTCAATTCCCAGCAACCACATGGCGGCTCACAGCCATCTGTAACAGGGTCTGGTGCCCTCTTCTGGCTTGCCGGCATACACACACAGACAGAATATTGTATACATAATAAATAAATAAATATAAAAAAAAAGATTAATGGGTTAATGTAAGATGTGAGAATTAGTAAATAAGAAGTCTGAGCTACTAGGCCAACCAGTTTATGATTAATGTAGACCTCTGTGTGTTTATTTGGGACTAAACGACTGTGGGACCTGATGGGAAAGAAACCCCAGTCAACAGCAACTAGTGTGGCTACTGGGATTGAAGGTGTGTGTTACCATAACCCGGTCTGTAAGGCTGATCGGTTTTACTCTCAGATCTTCAGGCAGCCTTTATTTCTTAAAATATAATTGAAATGCCACTATACATAAGCGATATGTAAGTAATACTAGTGCCCCATTTTCTTTACTTTTTTCTTTCTTTTTTTCCCGAGGCAGGGTTTCTCTGTTGGCCATGGCTGTCCTGGAACTAGCTCTTGTAGACTAGGCTGGCCTTGAACTCACAGAGCTCCGCCTGCCTCTGCCTCCCGAGTGCTGGGATTGTCTCAGATTTCCTAAGAGCTAGGGTTATACTACTGTGACAAGCAAGGCGATTGAAAGAAAACTACACAGAATGATGTTTCTGCGTCAACTAAGTCTTCATTTCACAAAAGATGTCTCCTTAGCAAGGCCAGGCGTGGTGGTGCGTGCCTCGGATTCCAGCAATCAAGATGCTGACGCAGAAGGGTCACTGTGATGCCAGCAAGGCTGTATCTTTAAGAGAAAAATGCCCTTCCCCATTCATGGCATATAATGGTGTTTATTGGCTTTTTACCCACAGTAAAAAAATTTTCAGAATTGGAGTTAGTCCTCTGAATTTTAATGCTGCTTTATTAGTAAAATTATTTTTGTTGCTACTTCAAAACTGTAATTCTACTACTGTTATTGTAATGTAAATAATACCTGATGTGCAACCCTGGTGAAAGGGTTGTTTGATCCCCACAGGTTGAGAGCCGCTTCCCTAGACCCACCTAGGAGAGCTGGAACCAGCTTCTACAGTGTTTACATTGTAGCATACAGGTACTCATGACATCTAGAGTGGACTGGGTACCTCAGAGGAGGCTGCTGTGTCTGTCTGAAATGAGTCTCTTCAGTACTTAAGATTGCAAAGTCAAGATGACCCCACAGGGCAGCAGGAAGGATGCTGAGTTAGCAGGAAGCAGCAGTCCAATTATATGTTTGAGTGCCCTGGAGTAGTAAGGAACATTGAAACTAATATTTTAAACAGAATATTTTCTGAGCAGTAGGTCTCAACAGTGGATTTAAAATACCTAGAAACCATGTTTTAAGCAGGTGTGCTGTCACACACACCCCTGCTTCTCCATGTAGAGAGCTTTAGTGTAACTTTTTAAAAATTATAGTGTTCTGCCCGCATATGTGCCTGCAGACCTGTAGAGGGCGCCAGATCTCATTACAGATGGCTGTGAGCCACCATGTGGTTGCTGGGAATTGAACTCAGGACCTCTGGAAGGGCAGTCAGTGCTCTTAACCTTTGAGCCATCTCCCCAGCTCCCTACTGTAACTCTTAATGGCCCTAGGATTTGAGCATCATTTGCAATTTGCAGTCACTAACTGTATTAGTCTCTTAACATAATTAACTTGTGTTTTGATGTTTTCAAGTGGAGTCATCTACTATATGACTGTTTTGTCTACCTTGAAAATCTATTGCTCAGCACAGCCGTCTTCATTCATTCTCTTAGCTCTTCATGAGGACTTGGTGTTTCTCTGTGAGCATGGAGACAGTTTCTTCCATCCGTGGGAACCATCTCAGCCTTCGGAATTGTATTTAGGGTCGGGTTCTGCATTAGGCTTTGGCTTCATGGATGCTGTGAAGCACGTCAGCACCATTCATATATCTAACAATCTAACAAGTAACGCCAGCCCGAAGATCAGAATGCAGAGCTAAGCCACTAGTTAGCCATAGAGGCCAGGCGGTGGTGGCTCACAACTTTAATCCCAGCACTAAGGCGGTGCAGACAGGAAAGAATATGGCTGGGCAGAGAGAAGACTATAAGATGGGAGGAGACAGCAGGGCATGGCCTTCAGTCTGAGGATTTGATGGAGATAAAAGGTCCCTCTGGTGCTTGACTCCTGTACTTCTTTAACTTTACCCCAATATCTGACTCTGGGTTTTTATTATTAAAACCAATTAGAATTTGTGCTACATTCATGTGTACAATGAAGTAGCCATTTTTTATTCTTCAGGAAGTTTTCCTTTGTGTTCACAACTTGGCTAACTAGAGGGGCCTAGCAGTTTATCTGTCCCAGCTTTCAACTTATCTTTCTCATAAAGCTTCGTCAAGTAGTTTATGGTTTAAAGTGGGAGCTGGGACAGTACCTTTTACTTAAACACTTAGAGACCATAGTAGGGTTGGTTGGTAATTTCAGAATTATGTCTCTGGGACTAGAAAAGGCCCAGGTAAAATGAGATGGAAAATGACCAGTCAATGAAGTGTCAGGACACACATATGTATTGAATAAGTGTGTTGTCTTTTTTTTTTTATTGGTATTTATTGAGCTCTACATTTTTCTCTGCTCCCCTCCCTGCCTGTCCCCTCCCCCTTCAATCCTTCCCCAAAGTCCCCATGCCCCCAATTTATTCAGGAGATCTTGACTTTTTCTACTTTCTACTTCCCATGTAGATTAGATCTATGTAAGTCTCTCTTAGTGTCCTCATTATTGTCTAAGTTGTCTGGGATTGTGGTTTGTAGGCTGGCTTTCTTTGCTTTATGTTTAAAAACCACCTATGAGTGAGTACATGTGATAATTGTCTCTGTGTCTGGGTTACCTCACTCAAAATAATGTTTTCTAGCTCCAAGTGTGTTGTCTTATATGGGCATGGTTTGTGGTATTCTGATGCAAATTTCTATTAACAGCAAAAATCACAGATTACAGTTTATCTAATAATAAAGTTTTTAATGTAATAATAAAGTTTTCATGTAATAATAAAATGTTTTATTTGTTTTATTTTTGTTTTTTGAGACAGGTTTCTCTGTGTAACAGTCCTGGCACACACTCAGTAGACCAGGCTGGCCTCAAACTCACAGAGATCTGCCTGCCTCTGCCTCACAAGTGCTAGGATTAAAGGCATGCACCACCATGTCCAGCAATAAAATGTTTTAAATGTTACCAAAATTACCAGAATATGACACAGACATTGAAGGGATCATGTGCTATTGGAAAAGTGACTTTAATAGACTTACTTGATGCAGGATCTGTAAAAACAAAACCAGTATCTGTGCATGCAATAGAGCGAAACTCCAACAGCAGGAGAGATGCCTGTGCTGTTCAGTGACTGGTCAGTGTGCGACACCACCCTATTGAGTAGCTCTAACCGTGGGGCGTCAGAGCAAATGTTCTTGCTCAGTCCTCACACTGAGCTCATGGCCTGGGCTGTTCCCTATTTCCCCAGCCCTTCTGCAACCTGCAGCAGCACCCAAGTACATGGCTTAGAAGATTGTAAATGATCATATTTTCCAACCAAGGAAAAATCTAAATTAGACTCATAAATTCTTGAGGCTGCATATAAGGTTAGGGTTGCTTGGGCTGAGGGCAGGGAGAGGAGTAGCTGAGTAGACAGAAGAGTGGCTGCAGGAACTCATGTCAGGTGATGAACGGCTGGCAGAGCCGCCTTTGCTAACTCCGGAATTCAGTTCCTTCATAAAGGCTGCAGAAAGAAGGAAGCTAAGAAGTGAGCCTCGATGAAAGTTGGTGCGTAAGACTGGAGACAGCAGGCAATGCCTGACAAAAACACCTGCTGCTGTCAAGAAAAAGGGACATCTGGAAGGACGGGGCCAAGACTTACACAGGAATAAGAAACACATACGTTGGGGGCTGAAGGTTGAAATCAGGCCTGGTGCCAGGCTGCCCTGCCACAAACAGTCTTCACTGTATGGTCCTACAAACAGGATGAGGCCCAGGGCCATAGCAGGGACCTTGTGACCAAAGGTTCGGGTGGGAGAAGCAAAGATGACCCAGGTGAAGTCTACAGTGGCTGAGCACCAGATGGGCCAACGGTCCCATCCGTGTTTAGATCCCCAGTCTCCTCTCCCAACCTGAAACAGATCCATTCAGCAAAGGTAGATTCTGAAATGTTCTCAAATTTTATTTCCTCTCCCAAGTTTGAAGCAACTTGCTGTACCCTAAGCCATTAGCCAAGCCTGGGGTAAGAATTCCAAACAGATGTCTAGATGCTGTTCTAGACAGATGGAGAATCCTAATCCCAGCTTGAACAGACTCACATTTGGCTGACAGAATCTCACACAGATGGACATAGTCAGATGCCAGTTGCAGAAAGAAGTCAGGCTCCCCATGACATAGTTTGTTGTGTATGTGTTCACCTTTGTATGGTCAGTTCCAGTGTTATGCTGTAGAGGAAAATTCATGAAAAACGCAAGTCACCTGCATTCCAAACCCAGAAACCCACAACATTGGCCTGTCCCTGCCACTCTTGGCTCTGATTCAGGTTCTCCTGTGTTTTAAAATTTAGACGCCTTAAATGCCCACAGAAGATGGGGGGTTGGAACTAAGGGCTCCTGTCTACACTGCTGCCAGCATCTCAGGGATAGCCATTCCAAACTTAGAGGTGCCCTGATCACAGCTGCCACTTCTGCTTGTAGAAAACAAGGAGGTGAGAGGTCATGGACATGGGCCAAGACAGCCTAAAAGAGCCAGCAAGTACTGGGACATGGGGAAGAAGCTTGAACTTCACACAGACCAACACACCACAGGGCTGGAACAGGAAGGACCAACTGCCCTCTTAGAGGTCAGTGTCTCTAGAAGGCTCTCTGACCTGTAGGTGCTGGGAGCCAGGTCCTCGGGGCCACAGTCATCTTGGCACAAACTTCTAATGGGCTTTTAATTCCCTCAGAAGCACACTCCACAGGTGGCTCAGTGGGTAGAGGCTGCAAGCCTGAGGACCTGGGTTTGATCTCCAGAACCCACATAAACTTAAAAGGCGATAACTAACCCTACAAAGTTGTCATTTGACCTATACACGCATAGCGTGGAACACACGAACATACACCATGCATATTCACAATAAAAAACAGACCCCAATCTTCTCACCTTTCCTCCTTGGTAACTTTCTCCACACCACAGCAATGACCACAGCTCCAAGGAGAACCAGGCTAGCAGTGACTCCCACAATGGGGTCCATGTGCTGAAGAGGTGGAGCTGGGAAATGAAAGAGAGGGGCTTGGGTCTACTCAGGGTCTCCAGAGGGCTCCTGCTTCCCTTGACAGCCTGCCCCTCCTTACCCCATCTCAGGGTCAGAGGCTCAGGCAGCCCTTCATGGTACACATGGCATGTATATCTCTGCTCCTCCCCAGAAGGTACCACCACAGCTGCCCACTTCTGGAAGGTTCCGTCCCCTGCAGGCCTGGTCTCCACAAGTTCCATGTCCTGGGTCTGTTCCTTCCCATCTCTCTGCCAGGTCAGGGTGATCTCAGCAGGGTAGAAGCCCAGGGCCCAGCACCTCAGGGTGATGTCACCTTCAGGTCTGGGATGATAGGTCACACGTGTCTTTGGGGGATCTGAGAATTCAGAGGTTCCGAGACTGCATTACCTTCACTGATATAGTGGGCTCATGTGACCGTCCTGAGAATGTACAGGACACTCAAGGTGAGAAAGGAGGCCCCAAACCCAGACTTTTAGGTTACTCTCTACCTTGGAAAATCCTACAGTCAGTTTAAGCCAGCCCAGAGTGAGAGGCTTCAAGTCTCTGAAAGGGACATTGGCTTCTGACCTGGGGGGAGGCTGAGCTTTTCTAAGCTTGACCAAATTTCCAAACACACTGGAGTGGGGGCAGAAAACAGTGAGTCTCCACGTAATGTCCAAGGCTGCTGGAGGCTCGTCATTTACCGCAGGAACTGACTTCCGCGCATCCGGAGAGAACCCAAGAAGATTCACCCGGGCTAGCTCAGAAGAGAGGGAGGTGACCTTGCAGGAGACCCGAAGCAGGAAGGTCTACACGGGGATCCAGTTGTTTGCTGCCACTCAGTACCTGCACGTTGCAGTAACTCTCTTCCCTTCTCCAGATGGCTGCGGAGCCACTCCATGCACGTAACTTTCAGGTAGGCCCTGTGGTGCTCTGCCTCATTCGTCGCCTCATATTTGCGCTGGGTAATCAGAGCCACCTTGTTTGCAGCAGTCCAGGAACGGAGGTCCTCGTTCAGAGAGATGTGGTCGGCGCCATCATAGGCCGTCCGGTAGTAACCGCTGAGGAAGCGCCCATCACTGCCCATATAGCACCCACGCATGGACTGGATGGTGTGGTACCCTGGAAGGCAAAAGGAATCAGCCCCAGAGGCCTGGTCCCGCCTGCTACTCTTAGCCCCGCCCCAGGAAGGGAGGGAGGGAGGGAGGACCACTACTGGTTGTGAGTCTCCCCCTGAGGCTGCAGAATTTTTCTAGCTCTGTGGGGTCTAGGAGATGCGCCCGGCAGTAGCCTTAGGTTTATGAGCCGGGTCGACTATTTGGGGTTATCCAAGCCACGCAGGGCTAAGTGACTCGGGTCACTCGCCTGCTTCGCTCTGGTTGTAATAGCGCAGCAGGGTCCTCAGATTTTCACGGAAAATCTGCGCGTTAGCCTTGGCGATCCGAGTCTGCCGCTCCCAGTACTCGGGCCGTTTTTCCTCCATCCACGGCGCCCGAGGCTCCTCTCTAGGGGTCATCGCATCGCTGTCGAACCACACAAACCGCGTGTCGTCCACGAATCCGAAGGCGACGAACCGCGGTTCCCTGTGTCCCGGTTGGGTCATGGCGGTGCCGAAATAACGCAGCGAGTGCGAGTGTGAGCCTGGAAGAAGCAAGGAGCTGACGGCGGCTCCACCTTCTTCCCAGGATCCGGAGCTGGTGTGGGGGCCGAGAGGGGAGCAGGGCGCGGGGCTCGGGACGCGGGTGGACAAGGGGCGGGAGGGTCCGGCTGGGCCACGCGGGAACGCGGCTTCCCCGGTGCCGCCCCCGCCCTCCCCGCAGAGCCCGGTTCCCTCCCGACCCCGCACTCACCTGCGTGGGTCTGGGTCGGGGCCAGGGCGGCCGCCAGCAGCAGGAGCAGCGTGCGCGGCGCCATCGTTCATATCTAGAGATCTGGGGAACATAAGAGCTCTGCGCGGGATTTTAGAACCCGGAATCTCGTACTGGCATCTGCAGAAACCGGACACCCAATGGGAGCGGGAATTACCATCGCGTCATAAGTGTCTAGGCAGAAGAATCTGACACAGTTTGGGAGACCAGGAAGTGAAAGTTGTAGGAGATGGGAAATTTCCAGGGCTTGGCATCCTAGCCATCTGCCATCCTGATCAGGGACCTGGGCCCTTATCCTTCCTTCCCTCTTCCCGCACCAAGAGCTTTCGCCATGTTGTCTCTCTGACTCCAATTCAAGAGTTGTCTTGGTCAGCTGTTCTCAGACTTCCTGGTCTCAGGATCTCCATGTACGCATAAGAATTAATGAGTTTCCCCAAGGAAAACATGTTTTTGTGAGTTATATGTGTAAATAATATTAGAAGCTAAATCTTTTAAAATGCATTCAGTTATTTAGAATATTAACAAATCCATTGCATTGATAAAATAAAATCTTATGAGAAATAATCATTTCCCAAATGAAAGGTCTGAAGTGCGGGTCTTTTTGCACTTTGCGTGTTTGCAAGTCTTTTCCTTAATCTGTTTCAGTAAAGATAATGGATTTTCATATATACTTTGCATTTAACCTGCTCTTCCTGTTGAGTGTGAAACAGCTTGCCTTATCCAAATATGAAGGTGGAATATTTTAATAATGTTACCAGATAATTGTGGATACTCATCTTTGATACCACAGTAAAATAAAATGTATTAATAGTTATTTAGACGGGTTTCGTGAATTCTACCTTGGATTTGAAGTGAGGAGGGAGTGTTGACTCTCTCTCCGGCTCTGTGGCCAGCTTCATATGCAAATCTGTATATTACGTCAGGTAAAGTGAAGGCCAATAATGTGCACAGGTGTCTGTAAGCCTCCCTTGATAGTTACAGTTACTATAATTTTTACTCTATAGTGTGCAGTAAGACACAGGTGAGCCATCAGTCTGAGGAGGGAGCCATTTCACATACCTTCTATTGGGCTGTGTTCCATGGAAGAGAAATAATTGCATTTATCTCCCAATATTACATCTCACAACTGAATATATATCCAACATATATCGATAGATAAGATATATTACATATGATACATATCTGGAGATGTGGCCCAGTAGCAGAATGATTATAGAGGTTTTCTGACATGCACAAGACCCTGACTTTGAACCCAAACATTAGGCTGTTGGGGAAGAACTGCCTTCATCATTCTTGCTTGGCATTGGGTCCTGCAGGCTGCAGCACCAGCCTGCACGGTACAGTGTGCTGCACAAGATAGGATAGACAATAGAGCATTTTTTTCTGGTTTTGCCAGATACAAATGGACTGGACATTGTGAATGTAATTCTTTCTCGCCTGATAATTGTTCTTATTGTATATAGTTTTAATGTGTTAGAGTCAAAGCCTTCCCTTTTTATTTAGACAAAAAGGGAGAAATGTTGTGGAATATTTGATTGTACTGTGACATCCTGAGACTCTGTTAATAAGGTTAACCTTGGATGGGGGGCGGGGGGAGTCAGCAACTAGTTGATAAGAATTAGTCATAGAGACTGTGGAGGACCCAGAATACAGCTAGAGAGGCACAGGAAGGAGCAGGGAGGGACTTGGACTTTTTGTCAGCCCTTTTTCGGTTGAAAAGTGTGGTGAGGAGGTCAGCTGGTTGCTCTTCTACCACTTCTTTGATCTAGCGGTTTTCACCCCAATATCTGACTCCCATATTTGTTGGTAATAGAACAGCTGAGGGGAAATAACCGGGCCCAGTTGTTAAAAGCAACTGTTACTCCTGCAGAAGACCTGAGTTTGATTCTCAGTAACTACAAGATGCTCTCTTCCGACCTTTGGGGGCACCAAACATTCACATAATATGCAGACTTATATGCAGGCAAAACACGCATATACATTCAATAAATAAATCTTTTTTAAAAAATAAGAAAGAGAATCAAGATGCTGGAGCATGTCATACATAGAATCACCAAGTTTTCAAAAATTCACTTTATGGTCGGGCGGTGGTGGCGCACGCCTTTAATCCCAGCACTTGGGAGGCAGAGGCAGGTGGATCTCTGTGAGTTTGAGACCAGCCTGGTCTACAAGAGCTAGTTCCAGGACAGGCTCCAAAACCACAGAGAAACCCTGTCTCAAAAAAAAAAAAAAGAAAAGAAAAAGAAAAAGAAAAGAAAAAAAAAGAAAATTCACTTTATGTATAGAGGTGTTTAGCCTGTGTATATGTCTTTACATCGCATGTGTTCAGTGCCTGAGGGGACATGAAGAGGTCGTTGGATCCCTTGCAACTGAGGTTACAGATGGTTGTTAGCCAGCATGTGGGTGCTGGGAACTGAACCCAGTCCTCTGGAAGAGCAATCAGTATTCTTAACCTCAGAGACATCCCTCCAGCTCAAGAATCAGCAATTCTTACCATATTTTGAATCTAGAACATTCTGCTTAACAAGGTTTTCTCCTCTAGATGTCTCTGCAGAATCAGTTCATCTCAATTTTGTCTCAGCAAGGAATGACTTAGGGCACCAGTGGATGTCTTCCTGGAAGTCAGTGTGTTGTTCCATGTGACCCAAGTGTGGGGTACGAATGGCTCTAAGGGGGTCGTTGGCACAGGGGTGGTCATTAAACACTCTGTGGGTCTGGAGGCTGTGCAGAAGGCTCAACAGGTAAGAGCACTGACTTTTGTTGGGGGCGGGGGGTGAGTTTGTGTTGTGATCCAGCTGCCCTCACTTCCCCTGACCGGCAGAGGAACTTCCTTGTGGTCTGTAATTGACAAGGATGTTTGTGTTCTTTCTGGCCTGTGGGTCTCCACAGAAGGAGTAGAGGTATAAAAGGTTGCTGGGCAAAATAAAGGTTGCTGTTCTTCCACCTGAAAAGAAGCCTCTGTGTCTCAATCCCGGCACCCCCCCCCTCCAGTCTCGGCTATGCAGGCTGCGCTGGCCGCAGCAAGTTTGGTTCTTAATGTCTCCATAAGAGCTCACAGCTGTCTGTAACCCCAGTTCCCAGGGAGCTGAGGCCTTCTTCTGGCATCTATGGCACTAAGCATGCAAGTGGTGACACACTTGCTTACATGCATGTAAAACACCCATAAATCTAAAGAAGCCACGATGCTGGGCTTCGGCTGATGAAGGTGAAGGAACATGGGTGACGTGCAAAGCAGAGAGTAGAGTGGATAGGTTCAGTGGCAGTCGAGGGAGCTGGCCAGCACCACTCCAGGGAGGCCTCTTGTCACCGGCAGGGACAATGGCAGTGGATGTTTGATGCAGGTGAAGACAGCTTCATGCATGTGTGTCAGCCGAGGAGTTTTGTTCAGAGACCTCTACTCAGGCAAAGATGAGATTCCTGACTTGAAAAAAAAAAAAGAATTTAAAAACTGCCAGTATAGAGGCTGAAGAGATGACTCAGCGGTTAAGAGCACTGACTGCTCTTCCAGAGGTCCTGAGTTCAATTCCCAGCAACCACATGGTGGCTCACAACCATCTGGAATGAGATCTGGTGATCTCTTCTGGCCTGCAGACATGCATGCAGACAGAACACTTTATACATAATGAATAAATAATTTTTAAAAAAAGAACTACCAGTATGAAGCAAAGTTCAAGTTTATTAGGAGGAGGCATTAACAGATTTGAACACGAGGTTGATGAGAAAGAGAGGCATCTAGAAAAGGACAGAGAAGATCGAAAGATGGATTTCAGCTTCTCAAGACAGTTACTATTTCAGTCATCTTTCTTTGACTGGGTTTATCCATTAAGCGAACCATGGGAAAAATTTACCAAACAAAATTACCAAAATATCCACATCCTTCTTTTCAAGAAGGAAGAATATACTTGTAGCTCATTGGAAACTAAATTCGGTCTCTGATGGAGGCTTCCAGGCCTGCCTCTCCTGGATCAGGAGAAATGACTGGGGAAGGCACACGTCAGTGTGGGGAGGAGACACGCTCAGGTCTGGGCTGGACTCAGTTCCTCACGGCGTGCTCACAGGAGACAAACACTTGTGCACAGATGTCAGCTGTGGAAAGAAAAGTCAGGAGCTTTTGAAGTCACACGAGGTGGGTGTCTCACCCTATAGAAGAAAGTGGTTAAGAACAAATTCTGAGTTAAGATTGTGAAGTCATGATACTGACTAGGCAGCCATACTAAACAGATCCCAGAAAGAGAGTGACCACAGCTCAGGAGTGTGTTCTTGGGGTACTTCCTGTCCCAGGCAGATCCCTGGACACTGTGTCTGTCTAAAGCAGTACAGAATAAGACCTGTTAAGAGCCCACAGCAATAGAGCCAAGAGAGAAATGTGTGAGCCATGCCCAATGGGTATCTGTCTACTCTATTGCAAGGGTCTCAGGAACCACCTTCCACTAATTACTGGCAGTCAAAATATAGCTGCCTCTTTTCCACCTGTGGGAAGAACCAACCAGTGACAGACCAGTGATGTGGGATTCCCCGCTGTATTCTGTGAATACCATAGGTTAATAAAGAATCTGTCTTAGACCTGGCAGGGCAGAATAGAGGTAGGTGGGGAAAACTATATTGAATGCTGGGAGAAAGACGGCAGAGTCAGTGAGACATCGTGTGCCCCCTCTGGAAACAGACGCCGGAATTTTACCCGGTAAGTCACAGCCTCGTGGTGATGCACAGGTTAATGGAGACAGGTTAATTTAAGATATGAGTTAGCCAGAAATACGTTTAAGCTATTGGCCAAACAACATTACAAATAATGTGGTTTCTGTGTGTTTATCTCGGGGCTGAGCAGCCGGGAACAAACAAGCAGCCTCCTACAACAGACCAGGGACGCCACAGAGTCATGAGTGTGGGAGGGAAACTCCTTGTCCAATCCTAGGGACCTTTCTGGAATTGTGACTGCAGCTCTGTGGAAGGAGGAGGAAACACAGTGGAAGACTGTACACACAGAGGGCTAACTGGTCTCCTGTGTTCTCAGCAGGGGCCTTTTCTGTGACATCTGTCTGTGGGGAATCAGAATCACGTCTCTAACAAGAGGGTGATGGGTCTGTTCATTATTTCCTT